CACTAGGGGCTGCTGGACTCAGCAGAGTCCAGCTCACACACAGAAGACATTGCCAGGGGGAAGGGGAGGGAGCTGGAGGGATCCTGGCAGCAGCAGTTCCCCACATGCCCTGAAGGAAGGAGACAGCAGTGTGCAGGAAACGCCACACAAGCCCGGAACCCAGCATCAGGTTGTTTCTCTCTCTGGATCCCTTGGCTCTGGAGGAGAAGGGGCAGGTGTCTGGGCTGGGGGAGGCCACAGCTGGCTCTGGGGGGACAGAGGGGGTGCCTGAGCTCTGGGGGGGGCGCAGGTATCTGGGCAAGGGAGGCCCTGTGGCTGGGCTCGGGGGGGAGGGGTGCGAATATCTGGGCAAGGGGGGGACTCTGCGGCTACACTCGGGGGGGAGGGGAGGGTGTGGTATCTAGGCCTGGGGGCTCCGTGACTGGGCTCTGGGGAAGGGAGGGATTGTGGGTGTCTAGCCCCCCGGCTAGGCTCTGGAGGGGAATGGGGCAGAGGAACAGGAACTGGGTTATCATAGGGGTTTCTTTAAATCTCTACTCCTGGGAGAATCTGTGTGTGTCTCTGTATTGTTACAGACATACTTGCTGACAGGTATTTTGAAATAAATTAACAAAATAATTGGAACTGGTGTGATTACGTAGTGTTATTTTGACAAATAAAAATTGCAGAATTTTGTTGAATTTTCAAATATTGTGCGCAGAATTTTTTATTTTTTTGGCACAGAATGCCCCCAGGAGTAACATAATAGTGTAGCCTTTGGGTGGGCTAAAGTACACTTTGTTGCCCTTCTTCAGTACCTAAAAAAAAAAAACCAAGTCCCATAGAAAAGTAGCTGGAGACTCAGAATTCAGTTGCTAAGAATTTTCAGCAAGGATTGCACAGGGTCAACCTCCCCACATTCAAGTCCCAAAAGGGACTAAAAAAAATGAATGTAATTAAACAACTTTATAAAATCTTATGATAAAGAAACAAATAAGCAGCTAATTTTACAGCATAATCTGATATTTTATAATCCACAGACATTATCTTCACAGTTATACATAAACATAAATAAAGAAAAATTTAAATCTGAACAGTTTAGTCCCCACAGAACCACAAGTGAGAAGAAACTGAGAATTCCCAAAAGCTTAGATTGAGTTCACCTAAGTCTCAGAGTCTTTGATCACCAAATCTATACAGTTTGCGGAGTCTAAAACAAAATCTTCCCTCCACTTGCTAGTAGGAATCTTCACTTGGAATCCATGCAGACTCTTCCTCTGCGGAAAGCACTGTTAGCCAGTCAGCGAACTGATTAACCAATCACTCAGTTAAGTATATAGATATAAAACATACAACAAAAAAACCCCAAAACAAATGAAACTGCTGCAAAATGCTTCAGAGTTAGGGGAAATAGCCTGCTTCTTCTCCTGGGCTCAGCTTCTCCCAGCTCACCCAGGGCACACGGCCCCCTGCAAAGCAGCTGCTCTGACCGCTTGCCCTCATGGAGTCTGACCCCAGTAACAGGGAACCTACTGGAGCAGACCCAAAACTATCACACCAAGCTTCTGGATGTAGAGTGCTAAATCTGCCTAGCAACAATGACTCAGACAACTCACTCCTACCTCCCACCAATGGGTCTCTTAAAGACATACCTCCCTATTAGGCACATGGGTTACAATAGCATCGAGTATTAACAGTGAATATTACTGGGAAGCATTCAGATATCTAGAGGAGAAACAAGTCAGGTCATTTGAGCTGACAGAAAAAATTAGTACCGTCTTACATTTTTGCCTCTCCACCCCCAACATATACACACAAATGTATGTATGCAGGCATGCAGCTATAAAGACAGCTATTTCATAATATATTACACATGCACAGACACACTATTAGAGGACATGTTATCCATGTGAAAAATTGTAGAGGCATGTGATATATTGCATAGGCATTAATACATTTCATTCATCTTTGACTGCATCACTTGACTTCATTCTGCCACTAATCCATCTTCTCACAATTTCTTCCATCCTTCCTAAGCCCTGAACACATTTAAACAAACATTGTTTAAAAAAAAAATCAACCTGCTAGAGAAATGTTTCCTCTTCCTCCTCACAAAAATGGGGAATTTCAGTCCTTAAATTATTGCTGTTCAAGAACCAGAATGGACACAATTTAGTCATAGGCCAGTAAAGGTTCTCTCTACCTAAAAGTGTCACAACTTTAAAGTCCACTATCTTATGACCATAAACAGCAGGTGGGTTGGGTGAGGGGGGCTCAGCCTCTCCCGCACCCCAATCTATCTCTGCCGCTGGGGCATAGTGCTTCTGGAGCAGTCTAGAGGGTTGCTCCAGCAGATGAAATATAGGACATCGCTATGCTCCAGCATGTCAGAAATAACCACTACACTTTCTCTACCTGCCAGTTCTGCTCCGCTCCAGGCCACCCCGTGTGCACAACCCAGTCAACCCTGCCTGCAACTTGTAGTCACTCAGGGGGCTAGGCTCCCTACCTCTGACCAGCTGTCTTCAGGCTCTGCTCTGACCGGCTGTCTTCAGGCTTTGCACACAAACTACCACAAGGCCAGGGGGAGGCTAGATCACAGAGTTCTTTATCCTTCCCACCCCCAGCTTCCCCACCATCACTAAACAAACAGTCTTATCTCCTACTCTTTTCATATGCCACATTTTACTTGGTTTCGTTTGGCATTAAATAAAAACAGTGACAACTAAAATAAATGACAAGGACACTACTGCCAAGCAGCTCCGACTAATATTTGACCTGAGCTTCAAGAAGTTGTTAAGAATGGCCTCATGTATGACATGCCCAAAAGTAAGAAACTTTTCAGTTTTTTAGCAGGGATGAAAAAGAGTTTTCCAGACCTCACTGTGTTATTCAAAACTTTACAAATGAGAACTGATACGCCAGATGCTTAAAATAAGAACTAAATGATATTTATCTTAAAAGGGGTTTTAAACCATCATCTCTCATCCTACTCTAGTAGCAGAAGAGTCCCTTTGAAGGCAACGCGAGTCTTGCCTTCTTAACAAGTGCAGAGTCAAGCCCTTCAGCTGCCAGCAGCAAAGCCAGTGGGCCAGGGCGGGGATCCAGGCCCAGCCCTGCGGGGCAGGAACTGCTGCTGAGTGTGGGGAGGGCTCGCTCTCTAACCCCTACCTTAGGGGCCTTCTCTCCACAGGAGGCTGGAATAAAGACAGTAACCCTCTCCCTCCCCCCCCCCCCACACACACACACGCATTCAAGAGTAGGGCCTGAAAC